ATTATGATTCCACGGCCAACTTCGTCGTCATGATTCCAAGGCTCCATCATAACAGGTGTTCCTTCGTCCACAATTCCCTGTAGCCGCGCTACTATTATCGTTTCACTTCTCGCAGGCACGACTGTATCTTCTTTAACGGCTGCTTGCATAGTGTTGTCATCATGTGGATGGAGAAATACCTCCTCGTTACCAACTTTGATTACCTTATTCTTAAAATCCAATTGGAATCCATGTGTATTCATTACGTCCATTCCTAATATAACATCCTCTTCGATGTCAGCAACTATAACAGTATGGACGAACTTTTCTGTTCCAATTCCTAATTGTACCTGGATTTCTCCATGAATGTTGGCATTTTCACCTGTAGCGGTCCGAAGTCGCAACCTCGTTGGTAACAGTTTCTTACGGCTGTTTATAACTGTCGGGCGTATAATGGTTCTGGTCGCTCCAGTATCCACCAACAATGTATGCTTTTTACCATTTATTTCTCCATCTACATATACACTATCTTCACGACATTTCAAAGAAGCTATTAGTATCAGAGGGTCTTTGGTAAAGTTCTGGGTCGAAGCTGCCCCCCTAAGGCCGACCCGTTCTAGTTTTCCTGATGGTGAGTTTCTTGATTTGTGTCGTACCTAGGATGCTTACATGAACTTCGTACGTGTCCTATTTCGCCACAATTCCAGCATCTTATGGTCTTCGTTTTCTTGTATGTCATGCTTTTCATCATATTAACGAGCTGGTCAAGTTTATCTTCATCTTCTTCCTCTTTTACAGTCCTAACTTTACTGTACCCACCAGAGGCCTGCGTGGCTGACTCGTATTCAAGAGCGGCGGATAAGACATCAACCAGCGTCTTGTGACGAGCTAATCGTAGTGTTCTTTGCATCTCATGATCACGAAGACCATCAATAAACGTTTGAACGGCCAACTTTTCCATCATGTCTTCGGGAGCTGTTGGATAAGCATATCGCACTAATCTGGCGATATCTACTTCATATTCTTGAAGAGCCTCATCTTTCTTTTGTCTTCGATTTTTGAGCTGCGACTGATATACATGCTCCAAGTGTTCATGGCCATATCGCATATTTAACCTCTTCTTCAGTTGTTCGAAATCATCCGTCTCCTCTACGGCTATGGTCTGGAGCACATCTAAGGCATCTCCTCGAAGGGCGATAGTCAGGTTTACAGCCTTTTCTTTTTCAGACCATCCATTCGCTCTTGCAGCTGATTCGAACTGTTTCATGTAGTTGTTCCATGATGATTTTCCGTCGAAAGTTGGGACTTTGACATGAACGGAACTTCCACTTCCTTCACATTTCGGCCGTGTTTCCAACTTACATTTCGTCTCGTCTTCTTTTGTCTCTATGGTAATTGGATTGTTTACTCTCTCTGTTGTTCCTGTTCCCTCAATCTTCCTTTCCAACTCTTTCCATATCTTCTCTTCGAAGGCCATCATATCGGCAGCAACTTGGTTTTTTAATGAAGACACTCTATCGTCGAGAGCAGACATCTCCGAAGTGACTTTAGAGATTTCCAAGGAGATGTTAGCAGAGACTTTGCTTTCTAGAGAAGAAATCTCGTTAGACACTTTGTCTTCTAAAGAGGCGATATCGCCGCAAACTTTGGCTACATCAGAGGAAACTTTCGAAATATCGCCATGAACTCTGTTCTCTAATGATGCGATGTCACCAGAAACTTTATTCTCTAATTTTGAAATTGACGCGATGACAGCATCTTCAAATATATAAGTTTCCGGATCTAAACCCTCTTCCTCCAAAGCATTCTTTAGTCGTTGGACTAACTCAGCCTTTTTTCCGGTAGAAGCTAATTCTCTATCCTCAAGATGCCTTCTTAGATTCGTAACTGTGAGCTCGTAAATCGTAGCCATCGTTCACCAATTTCACTTCTTTTCAAAAATTCAAATTAAATTTATCTACAACCCCACTTCTGCACCACTGTGATATATTTATATAGTTCGAATTTATTTGTCTTTATTCTAATTTATTGTCTATAATCTAATTTATTAAAACTCACGATAGCTAATTACTAATTTATTAAATAACTTTACAAATGTATGTATTTCACGTTTCGTACAAGTAAACCGCGTTTACCGATCTTCTTATGACTAACTCCTCAATGAAATTCTTCCGGTATTTATATGAAACCAGCTTGTAACAGAATGTTTGTAGAAAATACGATGCCGTTCTCGATCTCGACGTAGACACGGCGGCGACTGGTCTCAAAACATGTTCCTTTATCGGCTTGTCGCCCCCAGAACATTCGATTGTTGTTTGTCAGGTAGATTTTTTTGACCTAGAAATTACGAGAATCAATACAAAAGAATTAGTCATAAAATATTTACAGTTCTATACGCCATAACATTTAAAATCGTAACAATAGATTCTTCATTGAATAAAGTAATAGATCGTATGTTGCACTGTGCGTAGCTTTCTATTGGCCGTCGAATAACTCTTACACGTCTATCTGAGCTATATAAGCAATACCTCGATTCATCAGTGAACAACACGTGCTCCCAGTCATCAAAATTTAAGTTATCGTGCTCTGACAAATTGTAATCTACTTTTACGATGATTTACGTTTAATGCTGGTGCTCTAACTGGTATCCTTACATGCAAATCTTGTTCAGCGAGACGACTTTGTATTTCTACTAATTTGAATATTATAAACATCTGCCAGTTATTTGTACTGTACATACTGTATTTATAACTGTGTAATTGTGACAAAATGTTCTCTTATAGGACGAAGCTTAATAAACTGATCTTGGCGTGGTGTTGTGTTTTCCTCTTCCCTAACCTAGCCGTCTCGTATGGTCATTTGTTTCTCGAAAACGTTGAATGACTTCTGATATTCTAGTATGAGATCTTCTTAACCTCAAACCTATTTCACGACAACTTAACCCCACATGCCAGTAAGCACAAGTAAGTACATAAGACAAACTAAGTACGTACTGATGGGACATACAGTATGTACAATGTACGTACTTTGCTGTACGAACTACGTACTTAATACGTACATAAAACGTACATTTTCCAATTTATGGTACGTACCTAGTACATATTGAAGGTATGTACTTAGTATATACTATATATACATATTATGTACATAATATACACACTTATAGTGATTTATGTAAATAAAAGTAAATATAGGTGAATATATTTTAATTTTTTTGAAATAAATTTAATTTTTATTCTTTTAAAAATAAGAAAGAAAGTTTTTAAGCGATCCCCTACTCTCCTCAACCATCGTCCAATTTCTTGCTCCGCTACCTTCTTATCACTACATTTTTGACACAAAAAACACTCGACTGAATAAAATAACAGGAAACCACACTATAAGCCCCAAACACGAAAAATAAGTAAAAAAAATCAAAATCAAACTGTCTTGCAATGAATTATCACATCAAAACTGTACTCGAGGTGGAAAATTCCTAACTAAATAAATTAGATTAGGTTAACATAACCCAACATAATAAATATGCTCTAACTCTTCTTTCTCATGTTACATACTTAAGACGTAATAGTACGTACTCTTCTGTACGTACTGGTATGTACCTCAGTGTACGTACCTAAAACGTACCTTTTACATCATGTACCTACAGTACCAAAATTGTACGTACTTAAAACGTACTGTGATGTTTGGATGAGAAAAGTAAGTGCCTGAACACATTCATCTCAACTCAGATTTCTTGAAATACGGTCCATGTCAACCAACTAACATACGCAAAACAGCAAAACAATTTATTGAACTGTAAACAATATTGACAGTCTAAAACTGTCCTGTCAAGTTGTTTGATTTTTCATAGCCAACTAACTGCTTCCATTAAGGAGTATGACCATTCAATAAAGTCACGTTATACTTTGAATGTTCTTTTTTATGAGTTGCAAAATAAGATGAAAAAACAACTTTATTTCTACACCCCATACATGTGTAAAACGTTGACATTTCCCAGAAAACATAAATACAGTACATTAATTAGAAATAGACCTGCAATGAGAAAAAAATCCTCAAAATCCAATAATTAAGGGTTCAAAAGCAAAGTACCTTAAACATTATGGTACAGTTGAACTGGTACGTTAATTATGGAGAGTAGAAAATCACGTCATGCTTTGAGTGTACTTTTCTTTTTTGATAATAGAGACATCGGGATGACTATTTTACGCAAATGTTGAGAAAGGGTAAAGCTATGTCGAAATATTCATAATGCGTAGCGTTTGTTTCTAATACATTAAACAGGGTATTGCCAAATTAGATGAAAAAGCATATATGTATTTTTAAATCCCGTAGGTATATAGGTAAAACGTTGACATTTTTCAATAAAACATTAATATAGTAATAAAATAAAAATATACCTATAACGTGAAAAAAATCATCAAAATCCAATTATTAAGAGTTCAGAAGACATACAGCATCAAAATCATGGTCCATTTGATGATGCGTTAATTTTGGAGAGTAGTATAGATATACTGATAAAAGGAAACATCAATATATTGTGAGCAATTAAAAAAACAGGTTACTGATTTAAGAATTTATTTTTAAAAACGTCACATTATATCATATAACGTAACGTATTCAATAGTTGATACGAAACTACACACTATTTATGTCCTTAATGATATGAAGATGTGGATTTGCATGTAGAAGTCTCTACTGATTTAGATAGTAGGTTTATATATAGTAGGTATATAAAGAGATTTAAAATAAAAAGAATAAATGATTTTAGTGTACTAGAAGAAGAACAGAAGAGGAAAATGTATACCATAATATAAGAAAATATGATTTGTTTAATGGATTAAGGAGAGATGTAGGATACCAAATAAATTATATCAAATTACACAAAATGCCATAAACAAATACAATTAATATTGTCTTATTTGTCTTATAATTATTATAATTTGTTGTATAATTGTCTTATTATTATAAATAACAATAATTATATTTCCCTTCCTAATTTATTCTATTCATGACTATTTTAGGCTGGTCTCGGAATTGGTGAAATGATATTAGCAGTGAATAAGGATTCTCTTATAGGCGTAACATATGAAGATGTAAGTTGTTAAAATGTTTTAAGTATGTACTTATTAGCTTAGTTTTTTTATAAACAAAGAGTGTAAATCTAAACTTAAAATCTACACGTTTATGAAAAGTTTCATACTCGTGTACAAATCTTATGATGTGCATGTGTCTGACAAGAAATATATGAACAAAGACCTATTACGTTAATAATAATAATAGTCGTTAAGAGATGGCACCAAGTGTTTGAATAGAAATATGCTTTATTGTCACTGAAAATTATTGAACAATTTTATGGACAACGCTAAAAAAAAATCAGTCAAATAGCACAAAAAGTATAAATTAAAAACAAATATAATAAAAAAACAGAACAATACAATTTTAAATTAGTAAAAATTTATATGTGAGTTATTCTGCACAATTATTACATATTTAATGCTATAGGTAAGAGAGAGCAAAAAGAGAAAAATAATTAGGTATATAGGTATATGATGCATCGTTTGCTGTATATAAACATTGGACCTGTAATAGGAGTATAGTAAATGAAGGATTGTATCAATATTTTAATGAAAATTATATTTTTATTTTCATATATGTATAAAAGGAATTGAATGCCAAAAAAAATTTACACATACTCTGCAGTAAAATTCATTGTTATTATTTTGTTATTAATATAAAAATTAAAATGCAATATCCATAAGTATTTAAAACTGCCAATAAACATAACTTACTTTTATCTATCTATATAAGGATTTTTACAGCTGTCGCCGCCTTCCTTCTTTCAGCCAACGTCTCCAATCCTTTTTGTTCTGCCATTCTCCATCTCTAAGGTCTCGTCTTTCTATGGCCTCGTCCACTTCATCCCTCCATGATCTTCGGTGTCTACCTCTTTTCCTTCTTCCTATTGGGCTCCAATCCGAAATCTTTGCTACCCACCTTGTATGATCTGTTCTTCTCACATGTCCATTCCAAATTAAACGTTTTTCTTCGATGTAGCTGAGTATATCTTGTTCTACTGCCATTCTTCGTTTTATCTCCTCATTTCTGATGCGATCTATTTTTGTCACTGTGCAGCTTTTTCTCATGAACTTCATTTCAGTTGCTGTGATTTTGGACCTGTTTCGTTTATTTATTACCCAATTCTCTGCTTCATAGGTCATTATACTGCGTACCAAGGTGTTACAAATTCTCTTCTTTGTATTTTTGGAAGTCTGTCTATCCTACAGTACCCCGTTCATTTGTTTAATACATGTTTTTGTCTGTGCTAAATCTGCTGATTATCTCTTGCTCGGTGGTTCCATTTTTTGAGAGTATGAATCTTAAATATTTGAACTTTTCAGTGCCGTTAATTTCCCTATCATCGTCCATTTCCAAGTTTCTCACTGGTTCTTGCTCTGTTGTTAAATATTCGGTCTTTTCTAGGTTTATTTCCGGTCCATTTTTTGTGTATTCCTTTTCTAATTTTCGGAGCATATAGCACAGATCTTCTTTATCTTGGGCCGTTACCACTTGGTCATCTGCAAAGCTTAATGTGTACAAGAAGTTGTCCCGGATTAGTATTCCCATCCCTTCGCATTTCCTTTTCCATGGTTTTAATATTTGTTCGAGGAATATTTTGAACAGTGTCTGAGATGTAGAGCATCCCTGCAATAAGCCTTTTGTAGTCTTAAATTCATTGGAGTATTTATTTATATATAACTTACTTTACGAAGATAAAAATAAAAAACCAACAACTCAGAATATGTGGCACATTTTCATTTTATTTTAAAATTTAGCACTTTTGCGTATATTACATATATTAGATAAGATTAAGGTTTACGATTAACGTGAGGTTTTTAAATATTTCAAAAATAAAAAAGGAAATGCATATTGTTATTCGAACTCACATACACCAACGTATGAACCAAACACGTAAAAGATTTGCCAATTAGACATGGCACTAACGGATTTTAATATTATTATAAAATACAAAAGCCTAAAATAATGATGAACATGTAATAAATAATACAAAATATATCCCATAAATAATATTATTAATATATATTATATATTATATATTATAGTCTATATATAATATTATATATATATATATATATATATATATATATAATAATATATATATATATATATAATAATATATATATATATATATATATATATATATATATATATATATATATATATATATATATATATATATATATATATAAGCGAGGTTCCTACAGCCTCTGCCGTTTCTCGCATTTCGACCGCCATCGTTTTCTGTCCATCCATTCGTCTTCTCTGATGGCTCTATCTCTCATTATGTGCCGTACATTTTCTTCCCAGGCAACTGAAGGCCGTCCCCTTCTTCTTCTTTGTTGTGGTATGTAATTTAAAGCTTTATTTGGCCATCTATCTTCATTCATTCGTTTCACGTGACCATACCACACTAGTTGTCTCGTTTCAATTCTATCTACACTTTAATATACAGTATTTGTCCTCCTTCTAATATCTTCATTCCTGATGTGATCTTTTTTGGATATACCACACGCTCTCCTTAGAAAATCCATTTCTACTACTTCTATTAAATATATACAAAATGAACATTTGTATTGTCGAGAGAGAAAGAGAGAGAATATATATCTTCTGTCTCTCTTACTCATATCTTACATAATGTAATGGTTCCACAGATTCACTCCCGTACAAATTTCCAACGTCGAGCGCGCGTATAGAAGTATAACTTCAAATTTTGTTTTTGTAATATCATTAATGTTCGTAATAACAGGAAATTAAATGTTATACCGAATAATTATTATGTCGTGAGGATAAGTAGTAGTTTTACTTACAAAGTTACAATTTTATTAAGTACATATTAAATACATATTTTATTGTCTGGCTCAAATTATTTATTTTTCTATTTTATTTGAATTTGTTTTAGGCAGCAAGTTTGCTCAAAAATGTAAATGGAGTCGTAACATTAATTGTATCAAATCCTGAAAAGAAGGAGGATAAGCTACTTTCTACTTCTTCATCTGCAGTTGAATGTGATGATAAAAGTAACAAAAATATAACTGTACCAAAGGCAGCTGTACCCGCCTCTCGATCACCAACTCCAACTAAGGGTAATAAATCTAAATTCTAATTTGTTTTGCAACTCGCATTTTAATAAAAAAATAGTAATCTAACAAATTAAATCAATTTAATTTTTCTGAAAACTTACAAATTTCCCACCGTTAATATCTTCATTCTCTTAAATATAATTTTTTTTTATTTTCTTTGCTAAGAGACGCTAATTGTATCCGAACGTCTGCGGTCCCTCCGGTGAGTACCGATCACACATGGATAGAAATTATTTTCATTCATTACTTTTTAATAAACGAAAATTTCTCCACCCAGATGGGATTCGAACTCACGACGTTTAGGTTTAAAGGCAGGCGCTCTTACCACTGAGCCACAGAGGCGGTTAACTCTTAAATATTATTGTTACGACAATTCCGTGACATTTATTCCATATAGAAAAAGTCGTTTTACAAAAAGGAAGTATTAAAAAATTTTGAATGTTCGAGATGTCATATAAAAATCCCGAAATATCTAGTAATGTCTGGATCGTCAGATAATGTATATAAACACTTTTTTTCTTTCTTGACTTGGACAATTGTCATTCAGCCAGTATCAATCAACATAGGTTTTTTTAAAGAATTTAAATATGTCAATTAGTGAAACATGATTAACATAATAATAATAATAATATAATTATTCCTCACTAAGCTAATGTACATAATATGTTAATAAATATTATATCATACCTTTATTATAATTTAGTTATTGAAAGACGTCATGTGAAATACATAGTGTATACATCTTATAAATAAAAAAATAAATATATCTACCTACTATGTTAATAAATATAACTAGGGTAATATATTTTTTTTCACTACGTTAGGACATAAACCCGATTCAACATCTCGGAGGTTAAGATCCTCTTAGTGATTTTTTAGCATATTTTTATTTTTTTTTTCTTATTTTGGTCTCTTTTTTTTATTTTTTTATTATATTTTTATAATCCCCATTTTTCTTTTTTTTTATTTATTTTTTTTTCTAAATCATTTTTTTTAACTATTTTTTTATATTAATTTTTTTAATCTTTTTTTTTAATTATTATTTTTTATTTTTTCATGAATTTTTTTTAAACGTAGGTTACAAATCTTACTAATTACATGAATATTTTACTATCAGACAAAAAGGTTATCATGCAGTTAAACATTTTCGTTTCATTGAGTGATAGTAGAAAGAGAACATTAATAAGAAGTCGGATGTTCTTGTCTATCATTCTTTTAATTAGGTTGTAGGTGGGTTGTTTATACTTTTGACTTTAAAAAATATGTGGTTTAAGTCAGTTTTAATCTAAAATTCTTGACAAATATCCGAATTTAATATATTTTGAATAATTGGTTGTATCAAACTGTATTGTGTTATTGAAATACTACAGTACTTTTCCCAGTGTTCACTCCAGTTGTTCATTTGTTTAGTTTTTGAACAAGCAAAAGCATCTATAATGCAAGGTTGATAGTTGGTAAGTGTTCCATAAACGATAGAATTTTTAGCTAACTGGTCTACGTGTTCATTGTATGTACGTCCTGAATGTGCTTTGATCCACATCCATTATATTTTTTGGGTGTATTTAGAAAACTTCAAATAAGCATTTTTTAATTTAAAAAAATGTATGGATTAAAATGACTACAGGGTAGTTGCGTTTTTTGAATACCTGTAAGTATAGATAATGAATCAGATAAAATTACTGCTGAACTATACGATGCCGATTTAAAATAATTTAAAGCCTCATATATGGCCTCAGCCTCGGCACTAAAAGTAAAGAAATTTGTGAGCAGCTTAAACATTTTTTTTTATAAATTTATCGGGAATATAAAAAGCACAACCAGAACCCTTTGAACTTTTAGATGCGTCTGTACAAATACAAACAGATTTTGGCCAATTTGTCAGATAGTTGTTTAAAATAATATGACTTATTAAAGGGTTCTCATGATAAAAAGGTTGTATTATATGTACTTGATCCAGTAAATCTTTAAAATGTACCACTTTGTTTGCAACTATAAGTTTACTATCTTTATTTGCAGTATTTCGAAATGCTTCACATAACGGTCGAGAATTATTGTCAGTCCAATATTTGTTTGTTAAGATGTAGCAACGAACTTTGGGCAGAAATTTTTGACTGAGATATTCTCTTCTAAATTTACTGGGCGGTTCCATTGTCTCAACATAAAGGGAATCAACAGGGGTAGACCTCATAGCACCAATGCAACACCGCAAAACTGTGTTTATAAAAACATCTATACGACCTAAAATATTGTTACTAGCGGAGCCATAAAGTACAGAGCCATAATTTATAATGGACCTGATATAAGAACGATAAAATGGAAGATACGTTTCAATATCTGCACCCCTTCAAATTTTTGAAATTGATTTGAGAAAGTTTAGTGCTTTATTACATCTATTAAGCATAAAATCAACATGCAGTTTCCAGGTCAGTTTTGTATCCAAAATCATACCCAAATATTTTATTGACTTTTTTATTGACAGAGGGGAAAATAATTATCATTTAATTTTATTTGTTCTCCTTGAGGCAAGTTATATCTATGTGAATATACAAATGTTAGACTTGTTGTTTGCCAACTTAAAACCATTTTTTTAAACCACCTACAGCAATATTCATGAACACTTTCCAATGTGTTTAAGCCGTTATTGTATTTTTTTAAATTCAGTATGGATACAGAAGTCATCTGCATATTGTATTGTATTAAATGAAAATTTTTCGATACTAATATTATTAAAATCGGATGTGTAGCGATTAAACAGAAGTGGACTTAAAACTGAGCCCTATGGAAGACCCGAACTATTAAAACGTGGTCCAATGAGTTAATTGTTTTCCTTCCTAATATATATTTTCCTGTTTAAGTAGAAATTGACAATATTTGGGGCTAGCAAGGAAGGTATTTAGAATTGATTAATCATTTTTTCTTTTAACATATCTAAATTAACACTGTCATATGCACCTTCAAAATCCAAACATGTAATACTCGTATTACGAGAATATGCACTTTGAATGTGAGTTACTACGGTAGCGAGTGCACCCAAAGTACCACATTCTCGTCTATATCCGAACTGAGAATTTGGAAGTAGTTTTTTCTTTTATAACATCTTTTATCAACGTCTGTTTGCCTTGCAATTTTTAGAAGGCTCAGATTATAAGCAGAAATCTGAATTGTGTTTCGAAACTATTTTACGGATTTTGTAACTAGATGTCGCTATCGCGTCCGTATTGAAGCCATTTTATTGTTGCTTCTTAAAAGACAGAAAATATTGATTTTTCACGTTGAGAACACCTATGAATAGCTGTTCTGATGAGACCTATTAGTTCGAAATACGTATCAACAGATACATAGGGATTGTTTGCGTGAAATCGAATATTTGCTGTCTTTTTCATTTTAGTTTTTTCTACTTTGAGAACACAAGACATAAGTAAAATTGGTCTGTATAATTTTGCCAGATTCGGATCCTTTATTGGCTTTAAAATTGGGATGACAATAACTTCTTTAAATCCATCCGTATCTGCAGAGAGAACTTCATTAAATATTTCCAATAAGAGATCTTTTGCGATTGGAGGAAGCATATCAAGCATAGGATACTTAATGTGGTCATAACCGAAACTTGTGCTAGGACGATTATTTAAAACATAGCTTAGTTCTGTCTATCTAATCGGTTGAAGTAAAAAATAGCTTTTGTCGGTCACTGTTTTCCTGGGTTTATTAGGTATAGATATCACTGCTGGAGGAGCAATTATGTCAAAAAACCCTTCTATCCAAATATCTTCAAAAGATTTTTTTTTGTAGGTGATTTTCTGTATATCTTTCTAGCTTGAGTCCAAAGTACTGATTATGGTATTGATTTATTGAGAGAAGAAACCCAATTGACCCAGCTTTGTTTCGCAATACCTTTTTGTTGTTTTTTTGTACTTGCCATGTTTGATTGACATTTTATATAGTTCTCAAAATTACGTTCTTTTTTTATAATTCATGATTGAAAATTGCCGATTTTTAATAATCGTGTCACATTCAGAATTCCACCACGGTGGCGGTTTTTGAGTTTTTGGCTTAAAAGGTTTATATTGTGGTATTGCAATGTAAGCAGCATAATTTATACTATTCATTAAATGTTTATATTTGCTTGATGTGTTATTTGGAATTTCAGTATTTTGATTAAAAAAGTTTTGTACTAAAGAAGTATATAAAGGCCAATTAGCTTTTTTGATGTTGCATTTATTTTTTAAACATATTTTTTCTGTTTGGGCTTTAATGCAAATATCCACCTTTATAACAAAATGACTTGATCCTAGCGTGTCTGAATATGTAAACACTATCAGTTGGCAATTTAATAACAGTAGTATTTGAGTTTTTGAAGTTAAAAGTTGTCATTGAGTTCAAGTTGTATTAAGTACTGTTATATTGTTGGTGTTAAACAAAGTTATTTTAAAGCATTTTATTTAAGCAGTTTTCAATCAATCTTGTGGGTTAACTTGTTACAAGTGTCACCGAGCTGGTCACGTTCTTGGATTGTACCTTAAGAAAGTTTCAGGCAACTGTTCTACAACCTTCCATTTAATTTACTCAAAAATCTGAAACAGAGGATTTTTTTCACAAATAACAGCCGCTGGTTTTAAACAAAATCAAATTATCCACTTGAAGAATCTCAAGAAGAAATAAATGCTTAAAAAAGCCCTGACACCAATCCTCCAACTAAACAAAACCACTCTGAAGTATCATATCAGACTGGCTCTACTCCTACAGAAACTCTATCAAAAGAATTTACGAAACCAAAACCAGTACAAATTAAAAAGTTATTAAGGTCGTCAAAATAACTCCTGAAACAAGATATTGAGTTATTGTTACAACCAGCCAAACAAATAATCGATGATGCATTACCCACCTATGTACTAAATTATACCCAAGAATTCTTAGAAGACTTTCACGGCTGTTTCACCATAGTAAAACTGGTTCGAGGATATACCAGGACGTACACGACTAGATACATAATATGTTAATTAAACTGTATTCCAACTTGCAAGAAAAAGTAATTAAATCTAGAGTTAAACCAGGATAAAGGAAAAAACATCCAGGATTTAAGTACTGAGCTTGACATATATGGAGATACCGACTCATCACAGAAAAGTACTTAAAAAATCTTAAAAATAAACAAAAATATTTCAAAACGAATAAAAAATATACTTTGAAACAATTTGAGTCCTATAACAACGTCAGAATCAACTCTAGTAAAGCCAGTGATCGCGTATTGATTCATCTAATTTTAAATCACCTCTAAACAACTCAAATCGAAAACATTTAGAACCCAAAATATAGGTAGGAGATTTTAATTAACATAGTACTACATGAGAATGTCGTTAGATTTGTAAAGTCACAGAGACTAAACTGACTTGGCTACCTAGAAAGAATGCCAGATGATTGAGCTGTAAAAGTAATCCAGAGATAACAACTCCAAGCAAATAGGACAAAAGGAAGGCCCCATAAAAGATGGGTAGACGATGTAAAGAAAGATCTTAAAACCATGAACATCAGACAGTGTCGAAGGAAAGTATCCAACATGGCAGAATGGAAAAACGTTATTAAGCAGGCCAAGACCCACAAAGGGTTGTAGTACCATTCAAAGAAGAAAACATGGAGACATCTATCTACAGATAAAAGAGGTGAAAATATGGAATATTTTTAAGTTTAACAGTTAATTTTTACTTAGTTTATTTTATTTATTTTAAAAAGCTACAAAGTGTATTAAATTTGTTTCAAATGGTTGCGCTGAAATGACTTAAAGATGGTACTAAATTATTAATTAATGTACCACTTCTGTATGCATATAGTTCTTGAAGATGTCGTAATCGTTCTTCATTTCCGGATCGTCTCCAAACTCTTGTCCGACGAGAATCTGGATAAAATCCATATCTAGACTCGTCACTAAACAAAACTGTGGCCCAGTCATTGTCAGTCTAATTATGAAACTCTTGACACCAGGTTGATCTCGCAGCGCGATTGCCTCTAGATAGAGATTGCCTTTATGCAGACGATTCATCACAGTACTGCTGCTAATTGTTACATTACGTGCAAGCTGTAATTAATTACCCAGCTCGGGTGCTGTGATTGTTGACTGCCTTCTGGCATTTAAAAAATATCGGTATTGAACGACGGCTGTAGAGCTACCACGTCCTGGATATTACTCGGCTGGACTTCCAGTGTCTCTAAACCGACGCAACACACGATTTACCCATTTTGGGAGACACCCAGCTGATTAGCAACTTGAGTTTGTCACATACCAGCTTGAAGGAGGCCCACGACTCTATTTATCTCATCCAACGTTAAATGTTGTCGTTGCATTGTAAAAAGACAATATCTTTAACTCACCTATTAAGCAAGAATGGTATAAAGTGACTAAAATTAAATATATATATATATATATATATATATATATATATATATATATATATATATATATATATATATATATATATTCGAACTGAAGGTGTGTTTGGATGCCTATTGTAGTAGTTTGTTTAGTAGTTCTATGTAATTATAATAAAACATATAGTACCAATTGTTTTCCTTCAAATATTGCAGATCCAGCTGCAGATCCTTTAGTTGCTACAATATCTGAAGGTAAAGAAGTAACTATAGAACTTGTGACAGAGAATCAACTGTTGGGAATTTTCTTTGTGGGAAAAGGAGATAATTTTACTAGTGGAGTAAGTAATATTAGTACATAATTCTATTATAATGACACCTCACCTGTGTCCCCGGATGGGATCAAGGAATTTTAAATAGCTCCTTGTTATAAAAAATAATTACTAGTGGAGTAAGTAATATTAGTACATAATTCTATTATAGTGACACCTCACCTGTGTCCCCGGATGGGATCAAAGAATTTTAAATATCTCCTTGTTATAAAAAATAATTTGTTTACATACACGCAGTTTTCACGGCAGATGGCTTACATAATTTAAAACTGTAATTTACGTACTTACGCACGATTAATAAAATTATTGTTGTCATTGCCCGTTATTTTCGTAGGTATGCTGACCTACGATAACACATTGTAACTATTAAATGCAGCTGACTATTAATAAACGTTTTTGAAGCAATTGTGTTAAATTTGTCCCCGAGAAATGTGAAAAGTAAGAGTTCCACCGGCTCCCAAGATCATACTATTAAATGAAAATTTAAATATTTTAATACAAGATTTCACTTGTTGATCTGTCCCACTGGTTTTGCCACATATTTTCGACTTTTACTTTAATAAATGATTTTAAATCGTTAAGAACTACATATTTCACTTCACTCGCGGTTTCACTGTTCCTGGCTTGTTGGGCTGTACGATCCGCGTCTTCATTTCCTTGTGTCAATGTGTGAAGGGAACCATAGGAATTGTACAGTATATTTATTGTTCTGAATGGTAGCTAGTTCTTTTTTGATTAGGAGAGCAATTGGATGCTTCGTGTACAGTTGGTTAATGGTATTGATGGAACTGAGGGAATCGGTAATTATGAGAGCATTGGATATATTACTCGAGTTAATATGAACGAGAGCTTGATAGATGGCATACAGCTCGCCAGTATGTATACAGCTCAAAGATGGTAGTTTATACTCAAGTGTAATATTTGAAGTAATGACAGCTGCCCCAACTCCAGTAGATGTTTTGAAAGCGTCTGTGTATATATGATAGAATTTAGAAAATTTTGTTTTTGAGGAGGTAGAAAATGTATCGGATTGAGGAATGCTTAATGTCCAAGAAGGAGAAATTTCTATGGAGTTCGAATAGGTATTTGGTATCGTTATTTGTAAAGTTCTAATGGTTTGCCTAACTCTTTCGTAAAATGGCAGTTTTATGTTCCAATTGTCAGTATATAGGTTTTTAAAACGATCAGTAAATATGTTACTTCTAGATGGGTTGTTTGGATTAGAATTAGCAGCAAATGCGTATGTGAGAGATAAGTGCATCCTTTTATATTTAAGTGATGGCTCTCCAGTTTCTGCTCGTAAACTTTTTATTGGGCTGGTCCGAAATGCTCCTGTAGCTGTTCTTAATGCCGTATTTTGAATTACGTCAAGGTGATGTAATAGGTATTCTTTAGCAGATGCATATACTATGGAACCGTAATCTATTTTGGATCTAATTAGGGTTTATTAAACATGGATTAAGCAGTTATAATCAGCTCCATAGTTTTTATTAGATAAAGTTTTCATAAGATTAATTCCATTTTGACATGTTTTTTTATTAAATTTGTAGAATATGCTTTTTCCATGTGAGTTTCCAAGTTTAATTTTATTATTTTAAAAAGGGAAATTCAGTGTTCCTAAAATTCACCGTTATTAAATCACCAGATATTAGTCACCATTCCCTAAATCACGTTAATCGAGAATATTATTATATTTATTCTATAAACACGTTTTGTGATACGATGATTCTGAAATTGGTACCTGATACATCTGGTCACCGTTCACTTAAGAAGATATTTTCTTACTAAGAAAGAGTAAGACTAGTTTATCCTTAGGATTAAATACTGTTTTATTAATTAATTCAATAATTTAAATGTCTAAAATATAATAAAATGCGTTCGAATTTTTGTTTTAGTATGGAGTGATCCTAATTGAAATATACCAAAAAGGTTTAGCCGATAAAGACCAAAGATTGCAGCCAGGAGATATGATAATGGAAGTAAATGGTATATCTCTACGCGAGGTAACTTTTACAACAGCATCACAAGCTTTACGTGAAACAGGACCTAAGGTAAATCGTAGATATTTTTTTGTTTTGGTGCGCATATATAGTGTGATCGTTTGGGTTAAAAACCTTAGAATGCCTTATTGACATTTAAGCCACCATCTAAGCAAAAAACGCTAAGAAAGGTCGGTTTTTTTATTTAAGTTTTGCTTTTATTTTGGATAACCGGGATTATGATAACGTCATTAGAAAGAATTTGAGGCTGTACTTAAGTCTTAAAATTTCTCGACTCCAGGGCGCGACCAAATTAATTATAATATTATATTTATATGAATTACTCTTATAGCTAAACAAAGTCTACTCACAATTTTCAACGATTGGCTTTTCAATGCAAAATATGTTGAACATATGAAAGAAATAGTTATATGTTTAATTCTTAAACCTAATAAAGATAAAACACTCCCCTGTTACATATCGATATCATTAATATCTTGCATATGCAAGACATTTGAAAGACTTGAAAAAGACTCGGTTAGCATAACTTATTGAACAACATAGTATTCTCCCAAGTAAAAAAATATGAATTTAGGGCTGGTGTTAGTACACTGTGTACAACATAACATTTAGTTACCGATATTAAAATTACCTTTTTCAGAAATAGCTATCTTGCTTGTTTGCTTTTAGGATATACAGATTGAACGAATTTAAAACGGATCATACAATTTAATATATGTCTGTTTGAACTGCATTTGAAATAGTGGACCAATATAAAATTTTGACAAAAATAAATCCATACCCGGTGATAGACATTGTATAAAATATCGTTCAACTATCTGTCTTCTTTTAGGACGCACCATAGTCTATAGTGCCACCCAAAGTCCATGTTGCCAATTGTTGTGTAATAATCCGATTTGCGGATCTTTTTGAGAGTTATATCTTTTTCGTATCTTTAAATAAATGAATATTTGCCTATATTTTCTTTCTTTCTTGTAAATATTTTATGGTTAACACCTTATTTGAGAAACATCTAGAGGAATGAGATTGGCAACACCGCTCAACATATCCATCTGACTGCTTAGATAAAAGAAACAGAGGCTTGCCTAAGCAAGTGATAGGTAATTTGACAGCATAATAAAATCCTAGATTTATGTGTAGCTTTCAATTTTTATACATAATGGGCGGGGCAACGTATTTGGGTGGAGTTTTGACTTGTTCTTGAATAAGTTCACAATCCAGCAGCCCGCTGAAGTATTGGATTTTTATAATATAATTATTTGACAACCTTTTGTTGGCCAACCACCTAGAGCGGAGTTGAGCCGAAATACATATATTTCGTATGTTCCGAATTTATCTCGTTCAATCTGTTTATGATTCTGTTGACTTAACCATGTTACACAAAAAACTATGTGATATACGAAGTATAACACAAAATATAGCTAATAATATTGTTCATCTTTATAATAATTGTGTTATATATTATATATATATATATATATATATATATATATATATATATATATATATATATATATATATATTAAAGATCATTGAAACCAACTGCATGTCTCAAAATAGCTCATACAAGTCTCCCGGTCCCGCAAGTATCAGTTTTAAGTCCGTTATTGTTAAACATGTTTTCAGTAACTATTCATGGCATTGTTGACAATTCAATCAATTGCATTCAATACGAAGATGGCATTTGCATTTATACAGAGCGTAACTCGTATACTGATTGCCTGGAGGCTTTGGACTTCATCATGCAAAATTTTGTTTTTTTTTTGTTTTTTTTTTTTGTTTAAATGGCATAGGCAGGTGCCATACAGCCAGTCACAACATGAAAATATTCTACCCAGAAAGAAGATTGTGTAGTACAATATAAAAACATAATATAAATTTCAAACTTAAGTAGCATTACAAATTTTAAGCATTAAAATTATTATTAAGGATAGGATAGAGATAAAACATGGACACTCGTTTCTCGTCTAGGGACCCATCAGGACATTGCTTTTAAGACCAACTAGAATAGATCACGGATAAACGGTAATAACAAATGGGGTAAAACAGAGGTTAGGATTCTATTTACAGTTAAATATTAAGCTTACTTTTGCAAATAAATTCCATTAAACATTCATTTACAACTCTTATATTTAGAGATTGCAGGTAGCACATATTGTACGGAGGAAAAATTTTGATGTTGACTAAATTTTTTATTAGATCTTCAGTTTGTTTTGTGTATTTTTTACATTCGAAGAAAATGTGATTTAGATCACCTTCTTTAGGATAGGCTGTATATAAATTTGAATTTACGATTTTTAGTTTGGACATATGACTAGGATAGCAGGCGTGCCCAAATTTTATTCTAATTATGGATGTTATATACCTTCGTGGAACAGAATAATTTTTAATCCAATAATCACTTAGGATTGAAGGCTGTATAGAAGCTTATTGCGAGGAAGAATGAGTACTATATATATATATATATATATATATATATATATATATATATATATATATATATAAATATATAAATATATATATATATATATATATATATATAAATATATAAATATATATATATATATATATATATATATATATATATATATATATATATATATATATATATATATATATATGCCAAGATTGTTTCCATTTACTATTGATATTATTTTTAATTAATGCTAATACGTCTTGTTTACAGATTTGGTGACCAGCTTGCGTTCCGGTATCAATGCCCATTTTAGCTAATAGGTCAACATGTTCGTTATATATATATATATATATATATATATATATATATATATATATATATATATATATATATATATATATATATATATGCCAAGATTGTTTCCATTTACTATTGATATTATTTTTAATTAATGCTAATACGTCTTGTTTACAGATTTGGTGACCAGCTTGCGTTCCGGTATCAATGCCCATTTTAGCTAATAGGTCAACATGTTCGTTGTATTTAAGACCTATATGTGCTATAACCCACAAAAAATTAACAACTCTTCGGTTTTTATAAATGTCATAAACAAGTTTTATAATTTGAAAGACATATATATTTGAGTTATTACTAGGAAAATTTAAAGTTTCAATGGCTAACATAACAGACAATGAGTCAGATACTATCGTAACAGATGTATTCTGAGTGTTTTCAAAGTATCTTAATGCTTCATATATTGCTACAGCTTCCGCACTAAAGATTGAAAAACTAGGATTTAGTCGACAAAGTTTTTCTGTATTAGTTGATGGAATGTAGAAAGCACACCCAGTACCAACAATTTGAGGCATCCGTATAAATAACTAAATAGTCTGACAGACTAGATAAACTGAACCTCAAAATATTCGAGCTAACCGAAGAGTTAACATGGTAATTCAGTTGTTTTACAGTAATGGGTTGCAAGCACGAATAAAAATGTTCGATGTTAAGATTATCCTCTGATTTAAATTCATAATCAAAATTTATCAGGCTTCTAAAAGCCTCACAAAGTGGAGGTGAGTTCTTAAGTCCCCAATATCGATTAGTTAAATCTTCTTCGTTCAGTTTTCTGATATTTGAGTAGAGAGTAGTGTTACGATTTTGTATATTAATAACAAACTTTTGACTGAGGTATTTTCTTCTATAGCCCAAGGGATTTTCTAGAGCTTCCAATTATAAAAAGCAGGTATAGAAAAGGTAATAATATTCTTACATGTATCACTAATCGTAGATGGTGCTGACCCCAAAGTGGCACTAATATTTTACAGAGCCTACGTGCGATCCTCTGTGGACTATGATTGCATTTTGAACGGTACCGCCAGTAAAACACATTTACTAAATATAAAGCGCATTCAATTCATATTTCTAATAATATGCTTGGGCACCATGAAGTCTACTCCTTGCCCTGTTTTACTTGCTGAGAGTAATGAAATAATAATAATACACATAGCCAACTTTATGAGTTATCGATTGAAAACTTCTCAAATTCTCCTCCACGTGCTGATACTTTTTTAATGAGCATTCTAATATCTATGGTAAAGAAAAAAGATTACCAATATATACCTAAAGCCGATTTTTAAGTAATATTAAATAAACCAAAAGTCAATATTACAAAGTTTACAGAATCTCCACAAATAAACACTGTTTTACTTAAATCCATATTGAGTGAATATAATGATCCAATGATATAGAAAATTTTTTCGAGTAAGGTGTAAGGATATGCATCGCCTTGGTCCCGTCAGCGCTCCGTACACACGTACTCCCACCACAAGTTCCTCTTCCATCGACGCGCGCTAGAGGAGATGAAAGGCATACGACCGTATAAGTGTACACCTACATTGTAACCATATTTCTCCCGATCCGATATCGGGATAACAAACTCAATGTATTAAATCATAGTGCCTATACTGTTTCCGTGACGAAGCAGTATAGGCACTGTGATTTAATACCTTGAGTTTGTTTTCAATCCGACGTCGCCCGATATCGGATCGGGAGAAATACGGTTCCAATGTAGGTGTACACTAAAACAGCGTACGTCACATGAGAGAGACGAGTTCCGCTAGAGCGCAGTGGGATTTCCACTGGGCCTCTGGGTGTTGACTGGAGGCCAACCGTCCGAGTTCCGTCAGAGCGTTGATCTGATAACATCTCCACTGGCCCTAGGATATTGACTGAATGTCAATCGCTTCTGCCAGAGTGTTAATCTAGTGGCAGTTCCGTACCCAGTCTTAGAGTATTGTTTTGATACAGACCTATTCTTTCCCGTAAATAACTACTGATTAGTCGCTTTCCGCTCCTCACCGGACCGAGTGTTTCACCTATATTCAAGTGAAGAATTTGAAAAGGGCACTCTACCGAAACAGCTGTAGTGATAAGATTTTATAATAAATTTTGTGAAAGTTTTGAAGACAAAGTTTTCAGTGTTTTATTGTTTATATATATATATATATATATATATATATATATATATATATATATATATATATACATTATTACATTATTACATTTTGTTAATTTTAATTTTTAATTTATAGGTAAGACTAACTGTCTACCGACCACTTCAATCTGATTACACTTCTATTGAAATAAATTTAACCAAGAAGCCAGGAAGGGGTTTGGGATTAAGTGTAGTTGGTAGAAAATGTCTTAAAGGCGTTTACGTGACAGAAATAGTAAGTATTTCTTAATATTGTAAAATTTTATTCTGTTTAAAAAAAATGTGCAAATAAGTGTACACTAATATGCATAAGCATACTGAAAGGAACATCTTGCAAAAAATACATATTATCATGTATTATCATATTAAGGAATCCATGACAGATTATCAGATAAGAAAACCAACACCTGAAAAATACCTTAGATTAAAGAAACCAGGGTTTTTTTAATCTAAGCTTTTATCTAATGCATTAGTAGCATTGTTTGGACTAGTTTCAGAATTTTCGAAAATAAAAATGTTACTATGGATTTAATCTATTTTTTAAGTAGTTAATTTTTACCTTCAAAGTAAAGCAAAGTATTAAAAACTTCATCATCATTTCCTATGATAGTACGTTTCTTCCGTTCAAACATTTTTTCATTTATGACATGACGATAATTATATAAAAATGTATTTGCAGATAAAGTCTGTCAATCTGGATAAATCAGCCTATATTCTCTTCTTGCCGCTTGCTTGTTTTTATTATTTTTTACATAAATTGAGAATATATTATCTACTTTTTCATCTGCAGTATAATCAATTTAGGAGTGAGGAATTCTTCTTCTTCCTATATGTCGTCCCAATTAACGGAGGTTGGCGGCCACATTTCTAAAAGTTTCTCAGTCTTTTGCAATATGAAATAATTTATCTAGTCATGTTTATCCAGTCTCGAATATTTCGCAGCCATGACTTCCTCTTTCTACCTATTCCCTTTTTGCCATCGACTCTACCATGCATGATGACCTGCAGAAGACTATATTTATCATTCCTCAGTATGTGTGCAAGGTATGCAGTCTTAGGTACTTTTATTGTTCTCAACAATTTTTTGTCTCGACCCATATTTCTTAGCCCTTCCTCATTGGTGACCCTGTCACTCCATGGAATTCTCAACATTCTCCGGTATATCCAAAGTTCAAATGCTTCAAGCTTCTTAACTATTTGCGCTTTTAACGTCCATGTTTCTACCCCGTACAATAATTGGAACTAGAGGTAATATTAAACAAACTTCAGTATGAACGCACTATTCAGATTTTTGTAACAGAACAATTGCTTGAATTTTAAGAACGCTGCCCTTGCCATTTCTATTCGTATTCTGATCCCTTGGTCTGGATCTAATTCTGTGTTGATGTAAGCTCCGAGATATTTATATTTTGTCACTCTCTCTATTTGCTCTCCACCAAGGGTTAGTTGTTCATTATTTATTGAACTTCTTGGTACTATCATAAATTTGGTTTTATCTGTGTTTATGTCAAGTCCCATTTGAATGCCTTCACTATTTATTGCATCTAGTAAAGTTTGTAGTTTTTCTATACTCTCAGCCATAATTACTGTCTCACCTGCAAATCTCATGGTGTTTACAATTTCACCACCAATTCTTATTCCATATTTTCTTTCCCATGAGACTTTTTTGAATATAACATGTGAGTACATGTTGAAAGCGTCGGAGACAAGACGTATCCTTGCCTGACCCCTCTCGCAATCGGTATATTATTTGTTTCTATATCGTTATGAGGACTGACAGTTTATAATAAATTAATAATTAAACTTTGAAAATAAGGCTATTATCGAACACAAGTTAATTAAATCTAGCTCAAGTACTTTCGCTTAAAATAGCATCTTCAGGGGCATTTCGTCAAAATGTAAACTATCCGGCAAGCGTAGAATGTGGAAACATTAAAAATAACATAAAATTGTACAAAACACTACACTAAAACGAGGACAAACAGTTTTAGTGTATTGTTTTGTACAATTTTATGTTATTTTTAATGTTTCCACATTCTACGCTTGCCGGATAGTTTACATTTTGACGAAATGCCCCTGAAGATGCTATTTTAAGTGAAAGTACTTGGGCTAGATTTAATTAACTTGTGCTCGATAATAGCCTTATTTTCAAAGTTCATTTATTCGAGCATTCAACCTCATTTCAAAAATTAATAATTGTTTCATTTTGAAATCTCAGTTGCATAGTTACCCTTTTGTAGTACCATATACCATTATAGAACATAACTAATGCTACACAATGTTATATATTGGTAATCAGGAAATGCAGGGCTACTCAAAACTATAAAAAAATACAGGGTATCCCATTTAAAATATTAAAGATGCATTTTATTGGACACTCCCTGTATACAAAATTTGGTCTATTGCTACATTGTTGGTCGGTACAGATAAAATAATACAACTTTTATTTGAAATTTTTTTTGTATTCCCGAAATTAGGGAAAATAAGTGAAGGTCAAAATATAATGAGAAACCCGGTACATCTCTTTCTTGACATATCTTGTCTATTGTTTTGAATAAGCTACTGTCATTTTTTTTTGGTTCGGTATATAGTTCTTTAAGTTCTTTATTCTTCTTTCTTTCTTTATTGACCATCTATTTTCACATCTACATATATTGCTCTTTGCATTTCCTTCTCCCATCTTTTTAAAGATATATTTCGAATTTTTTAAACACCCTTTTTTCGCTCGCCTATGTAGCTGTAGGCCTGATAACTGTTTTGTATATTTTAATTTTTGCCTTTTTTTTAGACATATTTGGATTTTATTTCCCTTTTGCTATTCTTGCTTTTATCTCCCTTTCCTCATGTCCCTTTTCATCCAAATTTACACTCAGGTTAGTAAATTCAAAAACTCTTTTGAACGTGCATGAATTCTATTCTTCTATTTTCAATATGGAGTTTTCTAGTTTTTCTGTAAGTGTTTCCGTACATGTCTTTTATTTTGTCTTTTCCTCATTTATTACAAGCCCAAATTTTTTTGCGTGTTTTACTATATTGTTCGTTAATATTTTTAGTTCTTCCTTACCTGTTGTTAATAGTGTTAGATCGTCTGCAAATGCTATACATGGGTCATTTTTTAATATTGCTTCCTGCATATTTATTTTGCTTGTTCTGATTATTTCTTCAAGTATAAGATGAAAAAGAATCGTTGTTAGTGGGCCTCCTTGTCGTAATTCTTACTTTGTTTCAAAATTATTTAATTTATGACTCTTTTTATGCTATTTCGTTTATTGTGTTATAATATTCATTAGTATAACATATATATAGTATAACATGTATATAGTATAACATCTTGCAAAAAATACATATTATCATGTAATATTATATTAAGGAATCCATGACAGATTATCAAATAAGAAAACCAACACCTGAAAAATACCTTAGATTAAAGAAACCAGGGTTTTTTTAATCTAAGCTTTTATCTAATGCATTAGTAGCATTGTTTGGACTAGTTTCAGAATTTTCGAAAATAAAAATGTTACTATGGATTTAATCTATTTTTTAAGTAGTTAATTTTTACCTTCAAAGTAAAGCAAAGTATTAAAAACTTCATCATCATTTCCTATGATAGTACGTTTCTTCCGTTCAAACATTTTTTCATTTATGACATGACGATAATTATATAAAAATGTATTTGCAGATAGAGTCTGTCAATCTGGATAAATCAGCCTATATTATCTTCTTGCCGCTTGCTTGTTTTTATTATTTTTTACATAAATTGAGAATATATCTACTTTTTCATCTGCAGTATAACCCATTTCGGTATGAGGACTTCTTCTTCTTCCTATATGTCGTCCCCATTAACGGAGGTTGGCGGCCACATTTCTAAAAGTTTCTCTGTCTTTTGTAATATGAAATAATTCATCTACAGTCATGTTTGTCCAGTATTGTTCTCGGACGCGACTAGTTCACGTTCGACGCATCGCCCCGCCCCTTATTTTTCCCGTTGGCCCCTCCCTGACCTGGAAATCCCTAATCGCTGCTTCAGAAAGTATAAAATTAGGCGATTTTCAGGTCAATCAGTTCAGTCCTTCACGGGCTCTCCGAGAGCTTAGTGCTCTCGGGGCTCTGCTTCCCTTTTAGCTTTCCATACTCTGTGGCTGAGTATTATTTCTACTGTATTTTTGGTGTTTTATTTCGACCTATATATATTTGGTCATGTAAGAAATAACTTGCCTTTTTCAAGGCAAGACATCCAAGACAACAAACCTGATGTTTATTTCGACAACTATCATGTAAGATATTTGTCATGTAAGAAATCTCTCGTCTTTATTAAGACGAGCCATCAGGAAACAAAACATTTTGAAGTCCATACCCTGAAAATGGACAAAAGTAGAGGAGCTCACGATGTTTTCGAAGCCCCTCTACAGAGCACACGGTGGTACAGAAGGTGGCAAGACCCTTTCCATTTACCCCGAGGTGACAGTATCGAATATTTCGCAGCCATGACTTCCTCTTTCTACCTATTCCCTTTTTGCCATCGACTCTACCATGCATGATGACCTGCAGAAGACTATATTTATCATTCCTCAGTATGTGTCCAAGGTATGCAGTCTTACGTACTTTTATTGTTCTCAACAATTTTTTGTCTCGACCCATATTTCTTAGCCCTTCCTCATTGGTGACCCTGTCAGTCCATGGAATTCTCAACATTCTCCGGTATATCCAAAGTTCAAAGGCTTCAAGCTTCTTAACTATTTGCGCTTTTAACGTCCATGTTTCTACCCCGTACAATAGTTGAAACCAGAGGTAATATTCAATAAACCTCAGTATCGACGCACTATTCAGATTTTTGTAACAGAACAATTGCTTGAATTTTAAGAACGCTGCCCTCGCCATTTCTATTCGTACTCTGATCTCTTGGTCTGGATCTAATTCTGTGTTGATGTAAGCTCCGAGATATTTATATTTTGTCACTCTCTCTATTTGCTCTCCACCAATGGTTAGTTGTTCATTATTTATTGGACTTCTTGGTACTATCATAACTACCGTCTCACCTGCAAATCTCATGGTGTTTACAATTTCTCCACCAATTCTTACTCCATCTTTTCTTTCCCATGAGACTTTTCTGAATATAACATGTGAGTACATGTTGATAAGCGTCGGAGACAAGACGTTTCCTTGCCTGACCCCCCTCGCAATCGGTATATTATTTGTTTCTATATCGTTATGAGGACTGACAGTTTATAAAAAATTATTAATTGTTTCATTTTGAAATGTCAGTTGCATAGCCACCTATGGTTACCCTTTTGTAGTACCATATACCATTATAGAACATAACTAATGCTACACAATGTTATATATTGGTAATCAGGAAATGCAGGGCTACTCAAAACTATAAAAAAATACAGGGTATCCCATTTAAAATATTAAAGATGCATTTTATTGTGCACTCCCTGTATACAAAATTTGGTCTATTGCTACATTGTTGGTCGGTACAGATAAAATATTACAACTTTTATTTATATTTTTTTTGTATTCCCGGAATTAGGGAAAATAAGTGGGGGTCAAAATATAATGAGAAACCCGGTACATCTCTTTCTTGACATATCTTGTCTGTTGTTTTGAATTAGCTACTGTCATTTTTTTGGTTCGGTATATAGCTCTTTTAGTTCTTTATTCTTTCTTTATCGACCATCTATTTTCACATCTACTTATATTGCTCTTTGCATTTCCTTCTCCCATCTTTTTAAAAGATATATTTCGAATTTTTTAAACACCCTTTTGAGTGTAGACCTGATAACTGTTTTGTATATTTTAATTTTTGCTTTTTTTTAGACATATTTGGATTTTATTTCCCTTTTGCTATTCTTTCTTTTATCTCCCTTTCCTCATGTCCCTTTTCATCCAAATTTACACTCAGGTTAGTAAATTCAAAAACTCTTTTGAACGTGCATGAATTCTATTCTTCTATTTTCAATATGGAGTTTTCTAGTTTTTCTGTAAGTGTTTCCGTACATGTCTTTTATTTTGTCTTTTCCTCATTTATTACAAGCCCAAATTTTTTTGCGTGTTTGACTATATTGTTCGTTAATATTTTTAGTTCTTCCTTACCTGTTGTTAATAGTGTTAGATCGTCTGCAAATGCTATACATGCGTCATTTTAAATATTGCTTCCTGCATATTTATTTTGCTTTTTATGATTATTTTTTCAAGTATAAGATTAAAAAGAATCCTTGTTAGTGGGCCTCCTTGTCGTAATTTTTTACTTTGTTTCAAAATTATTTAATTTCTGACTCTTTTTATGCTATTTCGTTTGTTGTGTTATCATAGTCATTTTAACCATCCTAACGACATTACTTGGTAGGTCAATCTCTTTCATTAGTTCGTACATGTGTTGTCCTTTTGTCCTATCGTAGGCCTGCATAAACTCGACGAATACAACATATACTACTGTTTTATGTTCGTAGCACGTAGTCTACATTTCTTTAAGCCCAAATATTTGATCTTATGTCGACCTATTGTTTCTAAATCCTGCCTGATATGCGCTCATGTGATGATCTTTTACGTGTGTTGATTTAGCTTTTTCCTTATAATTTGTGTCAAGATTTTGTATAAAGGGTATTAGCACCTTTTTTGTGTATTGAGCCATCCTTGCCATGCCCCATTATCATGGTATTTTTCTGTTTCTTACATGCTTTTTATCAGTTTATAATCTCTCTACGTAGTCTTTCCCTCATGTTTTTATCAGTTCCGCCGATATTTCTGTTATTCCTAGGCTTTTATTGTTTTTTAGTCCCTTTATTTCTTCTTTCTATGTCTTTCATTGTATGTATTTCTATTTCTATCATTTTCAATTTCATGAATTATTTCCTTTTTGTTCTTTGATTTTTGTTTAACATTTGTGTAAAGAAAGTTGGCCAATTTCTCATTATTTCCCCTGGTTCATATAGTTATATCCTTTCATCATTTTATTGTATGGATTATTTTTCTAAAATACTCTTTTCCATTTTCTTGTTTCCTGGTAAATAAAGGCTTTCTTTATTTATTGATTGATAATTAATGGTTTTGTTCTATGATAATATTGTGATAATAATATAATTTGTTAATAAATTTTGTAATGAAAACTTTATTTTTAGAAAACCGTAATTTTAAAATATTGTTTTAGATGAACGGTGGTACGGCAGAGTTGGATGGTGGACTTATGAAGGGTGATATAATTACTGCAGTGGATGACAAAGATCTCGAAAATTGTAGTGAAGAAGAAGCGACTGTAATATTAAAAACTGTAACAGGCAACGTTCGACTGAAAATTAATCGATGCAAGTTTATATCAAAATAAATTTTCTATTTATTTCTACGACGTCGTCGTGAAAGTGTTTTTAAGGGTCTAATTTTTATACTAAAATTAAAATTATTCTTGCTTAAATATTTTATGAAATAATTTCAACGAATGTGTCATTTACAAAGGTTATATCTCTGTATATAATATCGACATACTTGTAATTTCTGACAAACAAATATACATTTTCTCTTTAAAAATATACAGTTAAGGTTTTTCGCGTAGCCTTTTTTCAGTGGTAAAGCATTGTTGTATTTTAGGCATATCAAGAATTTTGATCAAATAAAAGGCAGATATCGATCACAGTTTTATTAATTAAATCTTGCCCAAGTACTTTCGCTTCCCAGAGCATCTTTAGGGGCATTTCGTCAATTTTGGCCTATGCAACAATGGTATAAAGATAAAATTCTTAATCATACAGAGAATCCCTCTATGGTTTCCGAACATAATGTAGCTTCGCCTATTTTAAAATTTTTTAAAATCCCTAAAGTGTTTGTCCTTTTATACTATAATGTGATAACTAATTTTATAATTATAACATTCTATTTTTGTTGGATAGGATAAGTTGACGAAATGCCCCTGAAGATGCTCTAGGAAGCGAAAGTACTTGGGCAAGATTTAATTAATAAAACTGCGCTCGATATCTGCCTTTTATTTGATCAAAGTTTATTTATTCGAGCATTCAACCTTATATCAATATATCAAGAATTATTGCATGTGATTCGAGACAAATCTGCTGTTTTAAATGGGTCGCCAGTATTGTACTCGCTGTACTTGTTATGCAATTAAAGTGATATTTTATTGAAATTTGGATTATTTTTTTTATTTTTACTTCCTTTTATATAAACTGTTGTTGTAAACAGTGGCGGCCGGTCAGGGTCGGCAGGGTCGCAGTGCCGACCTACACCTTTATAGACATTAAAGATTTTTTTTAATATTTAATTTAATCAGTTTTTCAATAATTAATTTTGACAGGTAATCTGTTAATGTCATTTGTTTCTGTGAAACAAAAAAAAATATCTGTGAGATGATAAAGACTAAATTTTATTCATGGTTTTTAAAAGAATCCGACTAATTTGACCAGAATAAATTTTATTCATGATTTTTAAAAGAATTCGTCCAATCTGAGTGTTAAGTGATCCCTGCGTAAAACACTTAAATTAATAATCCGAAATCGGAGACATGAAGTGTAAACAAATTCAGGTAAATTAACCTAAAAAATGCAAGCTATGAGAGAAACTGTAAGTATTGATAAATCTGATATTGTAAATTATATTTTGCAAAATGGGTTTTTATCTATTACTTACGAAGAACATATTATTATTAAAAATAAGGGGCGTCCTTTGCCTAAAATGTCTCGGCTTACAAATATTAGTGCGGGGGATGAGGGAGGCAATAGATCATTTTCAGATAATTAGTACAGCAAGTAGTATGGCTTATCCGGAGTGAAATAAAAAAACATACTTTTGTGTTGGCCTTGCATTTTATTTGCGACAAATAGGGCAAACATCAAAATCCGCGGTGTGAATAAGGTTGCGATAATTTAAAGGAATTATTAAGGGCTTTACATAAACATGATATTTTGAAAGATCATATATACAGCCAGATTAAATTAGATTTATTTGGAAACAAAATATCTGTTTCATTAGGTGATGCCCAACGTCAAAATGCTATTAAACATAACGAAATTGTAAAAAAATAATCACGCAGATTTACGTCGTTTAATTGATATTGTAATTTTTTTAAGTTGTCAGGAATTATCATTTAGTTGACACGTTGAATCGCAGCATTCGTTTAATCAAGGCAATTATAAAGGACTAATAAAAATATTTAAGAAATACGATTTGGAATGTTCTAATTTACTATCTCATTCGAAGACATTTCGCGGGGTATATAAAACAATCCAGAATGAATTAATAGAATCAATTAGTTACATTTTGAATAACGTTATTAAATCTGAGATTCATGAAACCATTTTCTTTTCACTAGAAGTAGATGAAACTACCAACATATCATGTCATTCACAATTATCAATTGTTCGATACGCGTTACGTGGTAATATTTATGAGAGGATTTTAGGTTTTACAGACGTGAGTAAAAGCCATAAAGCAGAATATATTTTTGGTGTTTTAAAGGACAGATTAAAATTGTTTGATATCAAAAATAAATTGGTAGGGCAAACTCATGACGGCGCTGCCGTGATGTCTGTGAATTGAATGGCCTCCAGGCCAGAATTAAAACTATTGCACCGCAATATAATATAGTACCTATTTACTCACTGTAATGCGCATAGAATCAATTTAGTTTTGCAGGATATATATAAAGAAATTAAAGAATGTCGTCTTTTTTGCTTTTTAAATATTTTTAAGAAAATGTTTACAAAAAACGGATTTGATATTCAATGTTGTTTAAAATCAGTTTATTGACATTATTCATTTCAAAAGTAGAATAACAAAACTGGTGCAAAATCTCAGAGATTTTCGTAAAGATAGTAATTTCCAGTATATACGCAGTGACGTTTTGGACTCGCTTGATATTTCTGAATCCTCCAAAAAAGACAAAGGCATGACATAGAAACAGATCTCGAAAAACGAGTATATTTTGAAATTTTGGATACTATTATTATGCAAATAGATACTCGTTTTTCGAATTTTGAAGATTTGCAAATTTTTGACCTCTTTGGCGATTCAAAATTTAAAAATTACGCCAAAATATTTATTAGAGAGGTTAATAAAAAATTATCCATCATTCTTTAATAAAATAAAATTAGAAAATGAAAAAAGTTTTATATGCTCATCCAAATATTTTCTAAAGGTGGGATAAGTTACAAGATATGTATAATTTTATATAATGCAATTCATAACAACAAACTGTTACCGAAATTATTAAATCATTGTCATTAATTCTCTCATTACCACCAACGTCTGCCTCAAATGAACTAGATTTCTCTTGTCTCAAAAAAATCAAAACGTATTGTCGAAACACCATAAAATAAGAGAGAATGTCAAGCTTGTCTCAAATGTCAATGGAAAAAAAAACTTTTAAAATCACTCCAAAACTCCAATAAATTTTACGATGACGTTATAAACCATTTTGCTACTTCCCAACAACCTAGACTAGAGTTAATTTATAAATATGTTTAGGTTCTAAGTTTAGAGGAAAAAAAAAAACAAAAAATCTCCTATGATAATTGAAGTCTTTATTAGACGGTATATATATCTGAGGAGACAAAAAATACCTTGCCGACCTTGTCTCTCAAGCCACGAGCCGCCACTGGTTGTAAATTGGCGTATTTAAAAATAAATTGTTAGTGTTTTCAATATTATTACAACTTTGATTTGAAATTATTTTGGCACCAAATCTTATGGTAGTCTAGAAAGAAACAAAAAAACCTTGAATCAACGAAATATTAATTTGATCAATATGCAATACAAGGTTGTATGTTGTTGCAATTAATTCTACAAGGAAAAGTAGAAGGAACACGAGAATCAGGAAGGCGAAGGATTTCCTGGCTGAAAAATCTACGAACGTGGTTCAACACAACACCCACAAATCTTTTTAGAGCAGCAGTTTGCAAAATAGAGATTGCATTGATGGTCGACAACATCCGAAACTGATGGGCACTACAAGAAGAACATATGTAATACAATGTCTAAGCTACAACAAACGTTTCCGTTAGTTGTATCCAGCTTGTTTCTTAGAGATAGATCTGACATTAAACATTTAACAATAAATGAAAATAAAATATATAACTAAAAAAATGGTTATGGCACAAAATATACGAAATGTCTATCTATCTGTAACTATACCAAGTTAAGTGTAGTTAAATAGTAAGAAAATAATTAAATTTTGTTTTTTTTTTCTACTGTACTATTTATTGTGAATGTCGGCTATTAACATATAAGAGTTATATTTTATTAACAGCTAAATCGTCTAAAAACCCCTACATATGTCAGAAACAATCAATTGGGCAAGTTTTGTATTTATAAGTTTATTGTTAGGCCATCCACCTTACCTTAACACGTTCAGCTCCGTTTCTTTTTTTAAGGGAAAACAGTGGGCCACTGAGATGTATTTGTGTAAACTAATTAATTTTTAAGGTACAACTTTAAAAAGTCATTTATAATAAAGATGGGTACAAAAAAAATTAATTTGGCCACAAAAAAACGATCGCGTGAGTCGAGTTGGTGGCCACAGGGCAGAAAATGTGTCGGTTGAACTTAAAAAAATAATAATAATCGGATTGAGAAAAGATATAATTAGGAACCTAAATAACTAACATAAGCAATTATTAAATGGCAACAACATCAATAAAATAAATTATCTAATTTTTAATTTCTTCACGAAAACGTCTAAAACAATTTTCTAAGCACAATCCCGGATGTTCAGGGCAGTCCGCACAGTAAAACAATGAGTCCTTTCTTTCTTTTTTAGTTTGCCAGCAATATTTACATCGTCGTCGTTTTGTAATACCATTAGCTGATTTAGGGCAATGGGATGGCAAATAAAACGTCAAATTTTTCTTGATTTGAGGGATTTTTGGGTTTGGTCCCAAAAGTCTATCAATCACCGACAAGTCGTACAATGACATTTTTGTATTAGAATTATTATAGAAATAGTATGCGTTGATAAGCATAATTTGAAAAATATGTATGCCTACTTTTTTGTACCACCTCACGGTTTTGTGTTCGCAACTATAATAATTTAACATCTGGTCGCCTTAGTCAATGCCACCTTTATTTTTGTTATATTCAGCGACTAAACGGGACTTTTCTTTATTAACTCCTTTCCTAGATATTGTTGGAACCATTTCATGACCAAATTTGGAAGAGATCATTAAAATATCTCGCTGATCTTTTCATTTACACACACATATCTCTTTATTATTGTAGGCACTCACCAGTTCATTTTGTTTTAATTTTCGAGAAACAACTTCGTGTGGATTTTCCGCTCTTCCCATTTTCAATGTTCCTGTAAGATAAGTTTTAACCGAAAGTAATTTTTTTCACAATGGAACACTATTATAAAAATTATGCATATATAAGGAGTGACCAACATTTAGTTTCGAGTCCATCAAATTTAGCACTACTTTTTCCGTATGATTACGTCCTCCAACTACTGGGTCGCTAGCTCCACTATAAACTAATATGTGTTGAATCATCCCGGTACATTCTCCCAAAGTATATAGTTTGACACCATATTTGTGTCGTTTGCCCTTGAGAAATTGACGAAAACTAAGTCTTCCTCTCCATAAAATCATAGATTCTTCCAGGGCTAATTTTCTTTCTGGATAATAAAGATTCTTCATTTTATTATTAAGAAAATCTAACAATGGAGATATCTTGGCAAGTGTGGATTGGTTATTGTCACTATATTGTTAAAATGTAAGGAACGCAAAATTAACATAAAGCGATTTCGGCTCATGTATTGTCCAAACACTGGAATACTAAATAAATGATTTTTCTTCCAATAATTATTCATACGATTAATTTTTATGGTTCCCATGTGAAACAACAAACCAAGAAAAATTTTAAATTCTTCTACAGTTATATCCTTCCAAGCTGTAATTCTACTTTTCTC